GTAAAAGAAGAACAGCAACCAACACTCAGATAAAAATAAAGACTAGAAGCAACACAGCAAAATTCTAGTAGTCACTCTAGTTAGGTGGTGGGGAGAGCATGCATGTCCTCCTTTTATTTGTCAAATGTTCGCGAATTCAAATGCATTCCTTTTATGTTTAAACCTTTGTTATTATCTCTGATTAGAAAAGTCTTGTTTTATAATAACAAAATAACTCAATTAAATTAACAAAAAGAAGCATTTTGCACAATACTTCTATCATCTCATTTGATCCTCAAAACTAAGGCAATATTCTCTCTCCACCCTCCCCTTTTTTTTCACCCCCCTTTTTTATAGATGAGAAAATAAGTTTAGAAAATCAAAGTGACTTGCCAAAAAATCTGGAACAAGCAAGAGGAGTAGCTGGGAAGCAGGGTGGGACCAGGGAATTAGGAAAGTTTATCCCAACCCTTTGTGGCCATCGGTCTTTCTCCTAAGCAAATGTCTATTTAGCTCAAAGGGAATTCTTAGCTAGGTTGGGCCCAAGAGAACACGGGCTTCCTGGAAAGTGATGAGCTCCCCATCAGTGGAGGTGTCCAAGAGCAAGACCAGAGATATCCTGTTGGGCGATTTGGGAGATCTGACATGACAGTTCCCTTCTCAGATCAGAAGGGCAGAGCTGCGTCTCTGGGCCACTCTGGGGACTCCTGGACGCTGGGCTCAGTCTCATTGGATTCAGAGATCAGGAAGAGTCCAGGCTGAGGTGCTGGCCCCTGGCAGGCTGGGAGCAAGGGGGCGGGGTGGGGGCAGTAGCTCAGCAGCTTCCCCTTTTATTTGCACCATGCCCCTGCCCCGTGGAGGCGGTGGCCGTGGTGATTCGGGATTGATTTCTGGCTTTCCAGGCTGGAGACCAGGGTCTGATTCCTGCGAATGCACCACAGTGGAGGTGCTCGTTGCTAGGATACCAAGCAGCTTTCAAAGGAGCTTCCAGACGAACACAGACTGTGAAGAAACTCTGATGATGTGAAACCCAGGCAAAGTCACCCCTATTGATGACCGCGGTCCAATGCATGTCGTGCCTGACGTCTCCCAAGTGTCCCGCAGACTCCACGACAGTTAACAGTAGCAAGTGGAGAGGCGGGGGCCGGCTTTCATTGACTCAGCCCCTCCTGACCTGTGGCTCTCGACCCTGTGACTCATGTGTGAGGCAGGCATTTGCACCCCATTTTCGAGATGAGGAAACTGAGGCTGGGAACAGGAAACGACTTGCCCAAGAACAGCGTTGGCTGGGCCCTCCCATCCCACGCCGCCTGGGCGGGGCTGCAGCGAGGCTGGGCCCCGGGCGAGGGAGGCGGCCTCAGTCTTGGTCCGCTCCCCGGCGACATGGACCCTGCACGCCACAGGGGGCCCCCGGGCGACGCGGAGCCGGTGCCGCTGGAAGAGTTCGTGCGCGCTCTGGATCCCGCCTCCCTCCCGCGCGTGCTGCGCGTCTGCTCGGGGGTCTACTTCCAGGGTGAGTGAGCCCGGCGCCCAGACCAGGACCGGCGGG